CAAACCCCCAAACCAAGCTTGTTTTAATGAATGCATTCAAATTCAAATTACATGACAGTTGTGTTTTGAAAATACTTTTCCTTCTAGGCACAAGCAGCTGTAAACGTAAAGAGTGAATATGGGTGAAAAGAAGCCAGAACCTTTGGACTTTGTAAAAGATTTTCAGGAATATCTTACACAGCAGACTCACCATGTAAATATGATTTCTGGATCGGTTAGTGGGGACAAGGAAGCAGAGACTCTTCAGGGAGGTGAGCTAATTCCAGTGCTATCAAATTTGGGTTTTTTTGAGAGTGACTGCACTCTTTACATTCCAGGTACTCCTGCAGACTACTACAGCTGTGTGGAATTTCTGATAGTTGTTTTCACATCACAAAAGATGTGTCTGTACCTTTGTTTTAATCAGGTTTTTGTTCTTACAGTTCTGTATATTTAAAGACCAAGGACGTAGAGAATCAAAGGATATTTGACATGTTCTCACAGCGTGATAAGATAGTATCCTGCTGATTCTTGATTGAAATCTCTGTTGCGTTGTTCACAGCTGGGACAGAAGGTGATCAGAATGGTCTGGATCATCCTTCTGTTGAAGTTTCACTGGATGAAAACTCAGGAATGTTAGTGGATGGGTTTGAAAGGACATTTGATGGGAAGTTAAAGTGTCGATACTGCAACTATGCCAGCAAAGGAACAGCAAGGCTCATAGAGCACATCAGAATTCATACAGGTATGGAATATTCTGCAGTGCTTTGCTCTGGGTATTCACACCACATTACAATTTGCATGTGAGAAGTTAGTATGTTTAAGGGGTGTGATAGTTCTTAGAGTTACTCAACAATTCAAAATGGTTTTTGGGTTTTTAAATGGATTGTTTTTTTTAAAAGGTGTGCCATTTACTTGTTTAAATTCTGCAAATTCCTACTTGCATTTACTATTGCAGACTGCTGAATTTGAAGTAACTATATATGGGAGTAAAGTTTAGCATGAAAGCATCAGTGTAAATGGAAGGGGCCCTAAATGAAGCTTTTAGTTTTTCCTTGCTAATCAGAAAAGTGAAAAATATACATGCAGCCACTTGGAGATTTATAGGGGCTTTTCTTCCTCTGTGGTTCAGCTATGAAAACATTCGTGTTCTGTGCAACATTTTAGATGTGGAAGTACAAAGCATATAATGTTTTGATAAGAATAATAAAGTTTTCTTATTGGTAGAATCTTCAAACGTGAGGGCATATCATCAAATAAGTGATTAGTAACAGTAATGAGAAGAAACAGTACTCACCGTGGCTTGTGTGAGAGCATTTACTGCTGTTAGGTTTATAAAACTGGGAAGCAGAGATTGCAGTGAAGGTTGGAATATCCGAAACTGTTCATGAAGTCAGCTCTGACTTCTTGGCAAATGAGAGGAAACAAAGGAAAGGACCTTGCGAAGTCTGATGCTGTCCTGCCGGGTATGTTACACTAATGCAGAAGACTTTATGGCTGTCAACTAGAGTAATAAGAAAAAAATTGAATTCTGCAAAGAATGGGAGTTTTTACAGGTTTCCAGTGTGGTGTGGACTGTGGCAAAACTTCTAAGTGTGTCATTTCAGTGGTGGTGGGTAGGTGGCATGCTGGGAGTCGCTTTGGGAGAAGCACCCTGTTGTAACTTGGGTGTAATTGTAGCTCTTTAGGTACAGTTGTTGTTAGTCAGAGTCTCACTTTGCTGTGAGCCATTGCTTCTGCACAGCACCTCCCAGCATGTGTTTTGGGGAAGTCATAGAATCA